GAAATTTATAAGATTTGTAGATTAGAACCGCAGCTCAGTTGGCAGTGCAATAGCCACGTTGAAGCAACAGACACTGGTTTCGAGTCCAGTGGGATCGAAGGAATTTTTCATTGTGTTTGTGGAGTATTTTCACAAATAAATTAATAGCTTGGTAGTAAAACTTTTTTAAATATTAAGGACGGGACGAACAAGGCGTGTAGATGCCTGGTGGTAAGCTACACGCCTGTCCACAACAATTGCAGTGCCACTCAGAGCTTTAAATCGCAAAGATCTAAGCGGCACTGCCATTGCGCCCGTCACCCCAAGACATACGTTGACAAGTCTCATGTGCCTGCAGTTTCACCAGCACCCTTCAAAACAGGAACGTAGCAATGGTCATAATGTTTGGCGGCGGAAATAGGTAAGATGGCAGTACGTCATTGGACGTACTCTTTCATAAGAAGCTCTACTGCTGCAAATCTCTGACTAATTAATTACTGACAAAATAATTACTACAATGATTATTTATCCATAACGAACATTATGTCATTTACAATGACTGCATAATACATGGTTGAATATTTTAATTATAATTTATCAACAATTACATATTATTTAATTTTGCTAACCCTAAAGTGGCTCTCTGGTGCGCTGACCGGAAGATGGGAGATTTCGGCGAACAGCGTTTGGGCCCGGACGAGGCCAAAATCGATATTATTGCATTTTTCTTTTACGTCTTACCGAAATCACCTTTTACTTATATAACTAAATCGTATATATAATATACAATACCGCGCGCGCGGACTCAGCTGCTGGCCCGCCATTCACGCGTGCCCTCGCTACTCTCAATCGAGTAGCTGATGCAATTAACTTACTTCATTGCACTCTGAGTGAATTCAAAAGGGTTGCCTTACATTGTAATATGTTATGTTTCTTAAATTATTTAATTTATGTGCCTTCTCGAACGAATTAGGTTTTGCCTGTAATGTTCGTGTTAAGTTGCGATGTACAAATAAATAAATAAACTTCGATCGTAAATCGGTTTCCACGACAGTGATATTTCTAACGCACTTTTTTTATGTTACTAAGTGACGGGACGAATAAGTCGTGCGCCTGGTGGTAAGCGACACGCGTGTCCATAGCAGTTGCAGTGCCATCAGAGTCCTATGCACCTGTAATTTCACCAGCACCCTTTAAAACTTGGCGGCTGAAATAAGTAAGGTGTCAGTACTTCCCTGGATGAACACTTTCACAAGGAGCTCGACTAAGCAAAAATGGCAAGCTAAGCAAGTTTTTCGTATTTAGAAAGCGAACTTTGTCCACATTTAAGCAAAAAATTACAAACTCAAAATATAATTTAATTTCTTGCTTAAATTTATATTTAGTTTAAGTCTTAAATTATGCAAAGATTTTGCTTTAATCTTTGGTAATTTAACCTCTAAATACCTCCATAGTGGAGTCCCGGGTTCGATTCGCGGGCCGAGAGAAATATTTGTATGGCCTCATAAGTCCCACATTTATTTCTCTCATGAGTTTGGGTGTAATTTCTGGTTGTCTATGTGTGTCCATGGCACTCGCGATACAGGGTTTCCCTAGTACGTAGTAAGTAGCGTTATTATTGAACACATCGAGTAAAAAAACGTAATAATAAAAAAAGGTACTAAATATGTTTGAGAATCTTGTTTCACGGTATTTATTAAAATGCTTTGTTTACAAAATGACTGAATGATATGGCTCTTGATAAAAGACAAAACATTTCCTAATGTCCAATGCTAAAAAAATATAGGCATAGTCGTTTTGTAAATATATACGAAAAACTTGCTATGTTCGCCATGTTTGTTTAGTCGAAATCCAAGTTCGTTTTTTAAACCTCGGCCTAAATGCGGCATTCAGTGAGAGACGCATTAACGAACAAAGTGAGTTCTCCCATTAACCAATGACGTATTATCAAAAACAAAAGACTGGCGCCATTCAAATAGAATGTCGAATTTGGTTTATTTAAAAATGCATTAATGTTCTTTAACTTTTTAATCGTTTGCGGGCAACACAGACGCCTGGCGGTCACGTAGGCGGACGTCGGTAAACAAAACACTAATTAGATTGTTTAATTGTTTAAACTAATGGCAATTTGATGTTTCTTTGCTGTCACCGGCATTACTTTTGTAGTTCCATGAACGTTATTTGTGTGACAATAAAAAATCCTTTAAGAGTTTTTTGTTTTTTATTTATTTTACATTTCACATGGATGGGTGTAGCAAATTACTTAAAATTAAGATTAGAATCATAATTAAGATAAATTTTGGACTTGATTAACATCGATTTTATATTATTATTTACACCTACACTTATTGTTATACATATATATTATTTATATTTAGTTCAAAATTCTAAATGTATCTGGATTTGTATAAGAATTTGTTACACTATATTATGATAATTATTAACAATCGTCATTCAAGAACTGTCTTACAGAGTGGTACTTAGCACTTCGAGTTAGCAGTACTTACATTTTTAAGTAGACGGCAAAAAGAATTATACCCTGATTTTTTAATTTAACATCAGCGGATGCTGATTCAGATGCTAATGCGTATGCTGATGCGGATGCTGATGCAGATGCTGATTCGTATGCTAATTTTGTATATTAAAAAAAAAAAAACAAGAAAAATTTAAGGTCGTTGCCCTCACTTATACATCCCCTATTTGTACTAAATGCTATACAAATAGTGGATACATAAGTGAGGGCACCGACTGTACAAAATATAATTTCAATGATTTTGTGACATTTATTAACAAAAGAATCAACCTGCACCTTGCTTGATTGATTGTTTTCATAACAATCAATCTGCCTAGCTTAATCGTTCTGGAATTTTATTTAAATTAATTTAATATAATAATATCAACATACATTTACATAAAAAAACTGCTGAGCTGCTTTTCCGGCTTACAGCCTGTTTAAGGAAGATTTGTAAGTTATTCCAGCGTGCCTTTAAGGTCATGTCACGACTCAAACATCTGGAATGAATATCAGCGTCGATATGAGGACGCGGATTTTTCAATTTACGCTCATTATCCGCGATGCGGCTGCTGATATTCGCAACAACCCGGACTTGTACGGAGTTACCGTACTTATCTTACTTTTACTATGGTTGCAGTGTCGTAATTGTAATGTCATCAGATTTCTATAGTACACCAAATTTACAATCAGTCGGACAAGTGGAAAATAAATATTCATTTTATGATAGAGATTGTAGTAGCAGTAGAGTTCCTTGTGAAAGACTTCGTCTAATATATTATAGTAGTAATGCCACCTTACCTATTTCTGCCACCAAGCAGTAATGTCAGATTACTGTGTTTAAATTTAGAGGGGTAATGGTGTTGGTGAAATTACAGGGACTTGTCAACTTATGCCTCAGGATGACCGGCGCAATAGTAATGCCCCTCAGATCTTTGCAATTTAAAGCTCTGAGTAGCACTGCAACTGTTATTGACAGGCGTGTAGCTTACCATCAGGCGCACTACTTGTTCGTCTCGTCAGTTGATACTATAAAAAAAAAAGATCTCTATACTAAGTGAGAAAAAAGCTAATACTCCTTAAACAGTTGAGCAGACAGAAAATGAAACAATTTTTTTTTTCAGATGTAAGTCGCGTATATTTGTTTTTTCAAACATGGCTGTAAATGGGTCGGAACGTTGATTTGTTTGAAAAAACATATATACCTACTTACAGGGTTAAAATACCTGCTAACAACCTCGCAGGACTCAATTATCAACATCATAAATTCAAAGTCAAAGTCGAAGTCAAAGAATCATTTACTTCACAGGTAAAATAAATTTACACTTGAAAACGTCACGTTGAAGCTACTGCTCGTTCACTACGCTAACTTCCCTGAGAAGAACGAGCAAGAATCTCTAGGGATTGCTCTTTTAAAATAGACTTAAATGCTATAGAATACACTTTGAATCAAATTTGTGTGAAATCTGGAACCATGTCGTCCTTCCATACATCTTTATTTAACACGTAGTCTTCAATTTTGCAATATAACTTTTCAATCAAAATATTTTTAATGTAGTTTTTAAAGTTAGGAAATGATAATCTTAATATATGCTTCGGAATCTTATTGTAAAAACGTATACATTTCCCCATAAAAGCGTCGTTTACCTTGGTTTGGACTTAGCTTTAGGGTAAAACTAGACAATACGCCCCACTTTTTTTTAGAGTTCAATGAAATCAAATTCTGGAGATATTCAATCAATATCTTTATTTTGGAACAATATTTGGTATTTTAGGAACTATTTGTGAATTATTTAATGTAATACAGACCAATAAATGCCTTTTGGTGACAATTTTTTTTAAAGATGAGGTGGGGCGTTTTGTAAAATGACTGTTGGCTAATATGCCTCACTAGTATTACAAAATGCCCCAGTTTAAAAATCACATTTTCTTGCTATTCTTATGCTAAATGAACTACTTATAAAGGCAAAAATTCAGTCTTAATATTATTTTGTATCTAAAAATTCTAAAAATCTACCTATATTATACGAAAAGAAATTAAAAAAAAATCAAAAATGCAAATGCTTCTTTCAAAATCACAGTTTTCTTACTGGCATTAATTTTGTACTACGATAAATCAGTCTTCAAACATTTAACATTAGGTATAGGACTATTTCTTGACAGTTACTCTTTTTGCTTTTCGACCACAGCGATTGCATAAAGGGTTATACATGGTACAAAACTCATGCAACCATGCAGAACACGACGTACACTGAATCCAGTCTTCTGACGATTTCGTATGAAAATAATTTTCGGTGCATTCCGCACATCTGTCTGTGTCTTCATCGGATATTTCATCCTCTGAAACAACTGATATATTTTCATCGTTACTATCAGATGAAGATGAGTATTCTATCTTCTTTTTTTTTTGTAGTTTTGAAGGATCTTTCTTTAATTTTTTTTGTCGACTTCTGTCTTTTTCTCCAATTGTTTTTTGCTTCTTTGTGCGACTTTTATGACTTTCATTTACTTTTCTCTTTCTGGCGCTCGTGTTTTGTCTTAGTTTCCCAGCTTCAACTTTCTGTTTCTTTTTATCTGCAATTAATTTTCTTTTTTGTATATGCTCATCAGAAGTTAGAATAACGGCTTTTTGCTTCTTTTTTGATAGTACGAATGGCAGTTTCGGTACAGGATGGATTTCACTTAAAATTTTGGAAGGCGTATCTTTGGAGTCGGCAGTTACGGTCTTTTCAGGTATTATTTGTTCAATCAGATCCATGTCATTTAATTCAATGCTATGTGGTTCAGTAGGACGCTTCTGCGGACATTTTTTGGGGGTTGCTGGAGAAAGAGTCATTATTTGTATCGGTGAATGAATAGCACTTGTAGAATCATCTGACTTGTTTTTATTGGCTGTTTGTTCTTCAAAATTAGCTTCAAGTTCAGGAACGCGACAACGAAGCGGCGAATGTATTGTCGCTGTGGTGACCAAAATATTACCAGATCCTTGTTCACTGGGTGATGTGGGTGTTGACGCAGTAGTCATCAAAACGTACTCGGAACGATGTTGTTTTGAAGTTTCGGCCTCCAGTTCAAGGTTGATCTGCTGTGACGCTATGGGTAAATCTGGAAGTGTAGCCGAAGGACCTACAAGCAATGACATGGACTCTGTCGAAGTATCATCTTCATCATTTTGGGCGTTTTCGACCAAATCTTGCTCTCGCAAAGAATCTGACAAGGAGAAGTAGTGTTCAGGAATAGCACTAGGGTTGAAGGGATAGATTCCACACGACTTCAAGGCTGATACGCCATTTCGTATAGTAGCAGCTTTACCCCAAGCCCCGCCGATCAGTTTTGAAACGTCATATCGTGTCAGTTTCTTATCTTTATTTCTTACCATCCATGCTCTTGCTTCTTGAGCAAAGTACATCTTCAGAGGACGAAAAAATGCTCTATCTAGTGGTTGAAGGGCGTGTGTTGTGTGACTAGGGAGACACAACAATATCACGTTGTTTTCTTTGGCCACTTCCAGTAGTCGTATGTTATTACTGTGCGAGCTGTGTCCATCTAAAACCAACAGCGTCTTTCTTTGACTTTTGTGGCGTAGAAACACTTCTTCAAACCACTTCATGAAAAGATCTGAATTAATGTAGGAAGACTTTTTATTCATAAAAACTTGGGATCCAGGGGGGAGTCCCTCGGAAAACTGTGGCTTACTGTATGTTCCTTTGTATATCAGTACTGGAGGAATAAAGTTTCCTTGGGCATTGCAGCAAGCAATAACTGTGACATTTTCCCCTTTTTCACAGCTAGTGAGCGTGAAAACGTCTCTGGCTCCTTTTGTGGCTACCACTTTGCCAGCTTTATTGTTCACTTGGATGCCAGACTCGTCCATATTATATATGTCTTCAGGGTGGTTGGCAAAATCATTTTTTTCATAGAGTTTGGTTAGTAAATCGAAAAAGTATTTGACGTCCTCTCGATTAACTCCATAAGCCCGAGCAAGCGATAATCCTTCTGACTGTCTCGTACTTAATTCAGGGTTACGTTTCATAAATCCCATAAACCAGGTGTTGCCCGCAGATGCCGAACTTTCTAAAAATGGATTTTTTATTTCAAGTTTCTTTGCTATTTGAAATGCCATCTCTTTAACATCTTTTCTCTCTGGGGCAAATCCAACTTGTTCTAATTTTTTTATATGAGCAACTATCTTTTTTTCATGCTCGATGGAAAATACTGGGTTGCGACCAAGGGGAACCTTTAATTTTCCAGATAGAAGATGCCTTCTGAGTGTCCGAGATGGGATTTTGAAAGTTCTGGAAGCTTCATTGACACCCATTACTTTATTTCGAACTTTCTCCATAGCCTTTTCCAGGTCTTCCGACGCCCATGACGCTCTCAGAGTACTTCTTTGGTATTTTCGAGGCATTATCTGTAATAAATTTCTAAACTATGTAATTTTGGTTTAGTTGAAATGCTGGGGCGTATTATAAAACAACACGTGGGGCATATTGTAAATTTCGATTTTTAAAACGCCCCACCAACGTCAAGACGACTCGTTCAAGGTTATAATTGTAGGTACAATAAGAAAACAAAGTAAATTTATCGTGTTTTACTATGATACCTGTCAATCCAATAAGAAATACAAAACAACTAATGTATGAGAAAAATGCTGAAACTCACCACAAATTGTTTTAATGCACAAAACCTTCGATTTGAATTTTTTCTCTTGTGATGTTCGAGAATCACGTGTGGACGCCAGCCATGTTGTCCGACGACTATTGTCTACTAGTGTGCGTTGTGTGCGTTTCGTAGCTGTCTTAATGTGCATATTATTGAAGTGGGGCGTTTTGTCAACTGGGGCGTATTACCTAGTTTTACCCTAAGGTTAATATGGGTATCTTCTTTCTTATTGATTAGCAACAAATTTTGTTGCATGGCTTTTAATAATTCATCCAAAATTTACGGAATCATGTATCACGGAGAGTGTAAGATGGAATAACACGATTTAATTCCCCATTCCCCTTTTCTACAACGGGAGACCGTAGGCTTGGGTTCCACCCCTGTGTTGTGGACATTCCAAAGATTCGCTCGAAGCGTTACGCTCCCACATTAATATGGCTAACGGCTATGGAGTGGTATTCCCTGCCTGCAGACTTGTTCCCTGAACGTTATAACTCGGGCCTTTTCAAGGAGAGAGTGAATATGTATTACTTAAGTGTATATGCTCCATCATCGACCTCATCGTCACTTTCCATCAGGTGAGATAGAGGTCAAATGCGCACTTAAATCTTACAAAAAATAAAAATAATTTCATATTATTTACTTCCATAGAAATATATCGCTTTAAACTCTACTCAGGACAGGAGTGGGAGTCGTCGCGGAAGACGCTTGCACGTTTGAACTTATTCTACCAAATACACATCTAAAGAGTGTCAGATAGTACAACAAAAACTTAAATTAATTTTTCCTACATTTATTATATTTTGTAAAAAATCATAAAACAAAGTAGTTGTTTTTAATGTTAGTAATGTAGACCTGCGAGGTTGTTAGTGTTTTAGAAATAAACCTGTATATAAAACAAAATTGTTTCATTTCCTATGTGTAACAATCGCGAAATTCTCGAGGGAGCATACGTTCATCAAACATAGCTTAGGTACATGTAGTTTAAATAAGCCATCAAATAAAAAAAAACCTTTTTGAGGTCAATCCATCAGACACACAAATTATTTTTTATAACATCAAGTGACGGGACGAACAAGCCGTGCGCCTGGTGGAAAGCTACACACCTGTCCATAACAGTTACATTGCCACTCACAGCTTCAAGTTGTAAAGACCTGAAGGGCACTACCACTGCGCCCGTCACCCTGAGACACAAGTTGCCAATCTCATGTGCCTGTAATTTCACCAAGTCTAGATACTAACCCTCTTTTTGCGTCAGTTTAGTTAAAACATCCAAGTCCTTAAAAAGCTGGAATATAGGTATAACACTTTTGTGTACATAATTTAATATCACCAGAAATAATAAACAACGGAAGTTTTGTGAGAACTCATTTAAGATAGTTATAACCTATTTTTTTATCTAAACTCTAACAAAATAGCCCGTCTATCGTTATATTTGCCCATTGGCGACAGATTGTGTACACAACTACATTCATAAACGTGTATAATGATAATGTGTAAATATGTAGTTACACTTGCGTGAGTAAGTACTTACAAATTTTTCAAATGATTTAGATCTATTATGAGATATGGGCCAATCAAATTTTCTGCCAGCACTCTGGTGAATGTTTTTTTAATCTTCTATTTCACCAGGCCTTTTGGCGCTTACCGATAATGCCTCATCGTTACAGATCATCCTTAAATTCTACTTAACTATCTTTCCTTACCTCTAATGATTGTATAAAAAATTAAGAAAAAATGGTATTTGATAATTCTATTCTGAATTGGTAATTTTGGTTTACTTAATTAGGGTTAAGTGCACCGTTGAAATCGGGATTAAAATATCACTATTCAATTCAGAGTTTTTCGTCTTCCAATGATCTATTCTTCAGATCTAAGGCTCTTTCTAAATTTTCGGCTTAATTTATTCATACGCTTCGAAGTTAATCTAATTTAATAGTTCGAAGTTTTAGATCTATTATGAGATATGGGTCAATCAACTTTTCTATCAGCATTCTGGTCAATTTCTTTTTAACCTTTTATCGCTTAGCGATAATGCCAGTCCCATCGTTACAGATCATCCCTAATTCTGCTTAACTATTTCCTTACCTCTAGTGTATGTATAAGAAAAATCAGGAAAAAAATGCTATTTTATCATTCTAATGTGGCCCTGTTAAGTTCAAGCTATCAAAATATCGTTGAAGTTACGTAGTCGTTCGATCGAAGTCCTATCCAAAATTGGTATTCATGTATCACTTGAACGAACGTTGATATGAGTAGAATCGAAACGCAACGACTAATGAACGACATATTGGATTGTGAAATTTGACATTTAGTCGTCGAAAGTCTATTGAAAGAACTGTCAAAATTTGAGCAGAATACGTATGACTTGTCGTTTAGAGTCGATGTAAGTTCGATTCATATACCAAAATACGCTTTAACGACATTTAGATCGAACGTTGACGTTCACTGTCACACGTGAATACAAAAAAGCAGTTCAACGACTAAATCGCTACAATATCGTAACGGTTTGATTACGTGAATCACCCCCCTGTACTCTCGTTCTCTGTCCGAAACAATTATTGTCAAATGAGTAATACTCCATCTAATTAAACGACAATGTTAAGTATGGAGCTTCATTCACATCAGGCGTCTTTTAATAGTATGACTTATTCGACCCCTTGAATAAGCAATGAAATACTAATCATAATAATGTAGTAATAAAGAATGTTTGTATAATAAAATCAATAATTTAATCAATATTTTTGGGAAAAAATAGTAATTTGTATTTTTAAATCAATAAATAAAAGTATTTTTTATTACCCAGTGACGGGACGAACACGTCGTAGGTACGCTTAGTGGTAAGCGACACGCCTGTCCGTAACAGTTGCAATACTACTCAGAGCTTTAAATCACAAAGATCTGAAGGGCACTACCACTGCGTCTTTCATCCTGAGACTTAAGTTGAAAAGTCCCCTGTGCCTATAATTTCACCACCACCTTTACCCTTCAAAACCGAAACGGAGTAATGCTCACATTACCGCTTGATGGCCGTAATACTAGGTAGTACGTCTCTGGACGAACTCTATCACAAGGAACTCTAATGCTCGGAAAGGCTTTCTTTATCATTAGAAACCTGCGCGCCAAAGCGATTTTTGTACGCTAGAGTGGAAAAGGTTTTTGAAATTCGAACTTGACAATGGGCTGTGGACACCAACATTTTTCTTTCGATGAAAAAAAAAGAAAAATGACACGTTCAACTACGCAATTTGACGTACAGTACTTATTTATGGAACATAAATCCGTGGTATATTTTATTGTTATTATTGTTGACATTAAATTGACAATGACAAGTAATTGTGTTTATTTAATTATTTTAAATTGTCGAAGAAATAAAATAATTTCAATAATCATTTAATTACACAAAATAAAAGCATAAGCAAGCATAAAAATTTATGAAGTGTAATTTCGGAACGCATCCGAAGATAATTTTTTTTCTTTTAGTTAATAAAAACTGATATTTTATAGTTCAACTGTTTTTCTTTCATCTACCATTTTCTTCGCTATAGTCAGATGAAAAGTTGTGTGTTTCGCTAGGCAGCAAAGTTGTTTTGCGTCTCGTGTCTTGAAACCCTTGCTACGCCAAGAATCTATTTTTTCAAGTTCAAGTTTCAATACAAGCACTCGCCTCAAACAACAACTTTGCAGCCATGCATAACAAATAACTGTTATTGCTTGTATGCAATAGTGTCTAAACTATTGGTCAAGGGTCTCTCCCTCGAACTTGCAAGTCTCTATCCGCAGGAATCTCCGGTCAGTCAGTTAAGAACGCATATAGGTCATTCCACCAAGCTCATTCCAATAAATATTCATCAAATGGAATCTCTATTTTACTAGTTAGAGTATTTTTCAGTGACCTTAACGTATTTAATAAGTTAAGGTTTTTTTATCTATAAAGGATTTAGTAAAACTGTAACGTCTACAGTCTGCCGACTTCGTATAGGTCATGCCTGCACCCAAGTCCATCTGGCAAAACTTAGAATACGGGATAGCTCAATTTGTGAACGTGGGCTGGAGCCCACATACTTTTAATTGCCCTACCAGAAAATGTTCCATTTATGATAGTCTTCCACCTTTTATTCCTCGCCCCGTAAATTTCAAGTTTCTGTCATCTATTTTTACCAATCCCCTCTTAGAATTAATATCTGATTTTATTAGTACTAACAAACTTAAATTATAAAACTAATTTACTCATGTTAATATTTCTGTAACGGTGATGGTATATCATGTTGTTTGGTATTGTTCCAGAAACCGGAATAAACTAAAGAGCAATGTTAATTAATTAAACATTTAAAAAAAAGTGTAAGCCCCATGAATGACTTGACATTGGCAAAATTCTTCAAAAGAAGCCAGAAACTTAAAAATAGAATAGAATAAATTAAATTGAAGTATACTAAAGAACTAATTAGGCAATATTTTTATTTGTTTTGTTAGTAAAGCAGCAAGTTCATATCATAAATTATCTGTCTATATTATTAACAAATCAACAAACCCTATTGAGGTTATAAAAACAATAACCATCAACGCACTGCATAACAGTTATAAAAATAAAATCCAAACATAAGCATTTTATTGGCTTAAGAAACTACTATAAAAAACATGGAGATCGTTCCTTTTTTAATCCAGACTCTGTGATTGGTCGTTCAGATGACGTAAAAAGTCCGACGCCCCATCGTCACGCGTGCCCTCCCTTGGCTGCTTTTTATGGTACGATTTTTAAATAGAAAATTTATACGGAACAACAAGTCAAGGGGGCGGGTGAGGTATACATAAGGGATGTAAAACTTACAATATATAAGTTAATACACATTTACGACTGGCAATTCAAACACACTTTTATTTGGCAATAATAAACAAATTTATTAGACGATAAGTTGAAATATGCAGGTAAGTTACAATAAAAGCTTAAATACTAGAAACTAAAATAGGATTCAATTATATGAAGAAAATTGGGTCCTCGCGGCAAGGTGCCCAAGATACTTGCAGCATTCTCCCTTTGCATAGCTATGTTAATGCGTTGGGCAAGGTAGCTGCCAGCCCTTGGGTTTCCCAGGCGGTCTATTAATTTTTTGAATAAAATGAGATTCGACATTCCTGAGACGTTCCTGGTACTTAATAAATGAATTATCTTGACAGTCATCTTAACAAAGTTACAAATTCATTTAAGGAGCAATGTACCTATACACTTCTATAATAAGATTGCGGTTGATACATAAAATTTGCCATTTAGGTACGGGGTTTAAAACTATAGTGAAACAAAAATTTTATACTAAAGGTTGTTATACACCTACTGCGTACTAGGGTGACAAAAATCCGAGGTAGTATCCCGTTTAGCTCTAAGGTATTTGAAATAAGTATTGTAAATGATAAAATGTACATTTACAAAGAGCAACCCCTAGAGTTCGTTGCTCATTCTTCTCAGAGGAATCTGCCTTACGAATGACCAGTAGAGTTTAATCAATATGAAAATTTCAAGCGTAATTTGCTTACCTGTTACCCATATTTATTTAAACATAATTAGAGTTTGTGTCTGAAATAAATGCTTAACAAGGTCAAACATTCAATATTACTTCCCAGACCAATCCTACAATATAAACATATTCCACATCACCAGGCGCGACACTGTTATAAATAAACCCATTAGCAATAAGTCAAACAAACATAAAAATAGCATTATAGCAAATAATACAATAGGAAAACAATCTCATTTCCCTACATATCGGATTTTATTGTCTCACAATAACCGATAGAACGCCTATACTTTATTACAACTACCACAGCGCCGCAGGATTCTTATTTTTTATTATTAATATAGCATAAACAATAACTTAATAAGTTACTCCCCACCCACAGTAGCGAGCGCTCGTATTGGTTCAAATAAAAATAGGCTGTAGGGGGTGGGAAAGGGACACACGTATCGCGAGGTGTTTTTGTCTCTGTCGCACCAGAAAACTCGTCGCCTTCAAACGTAGAATACATTTATCGATGTTTGGGGCATAAAAATTGACAGATTTTTTTTCAGTTCATTGTCAGTAGCAGAAGCGGTCACATCGCTCTCTGCCTCCGAGACGAAGGGTTGCCCCAAAAAACGGGCCGCTCTTACGTGCGATTAAATAACATTTTTTGTGTCTTCAAAGGACTGAAGTGAAAGTTAAAATAATAGTTAATGCTAATACAGTGCGTTGTGTTTTTTTAAGATTCGTCTGTTTCAAGGGGAAGGTAAGATTTTTTATTAAACATTTAAATTTAAGATATACAATTTTTATTTGTCGCTTTACATTTACATTATATGTTTAATAAACAAAACTTTAAACAATTTGGAGTTCTGTGGTAATAACATAGCTATATTAATTTCAAGTGATCCAAATTCGTGTAAATTAGTGTATTTTAAACTTACAGCAACATAGACGAATTAATAAGCTAATGTATAAGGTTATGTGTGTAATACTTTATTTTTTATTTATACTCGGTCTCGTGTATATAACCAGTGTTATATATGTTTGTAGCGTTAGAACACTCAACATGTATTGAATAATATAATTATCAAATTCTTCCTAAAAATAGCTATGTATGTACCACGCAGTTAAACATGTAAATGAGTATACAAATACGTAATGATAAACATTATCACTAAATATATCTAAAAAAAAACAACTTTTAAACACAATTTACGGTCATTGCTATAATCCCATATTTATTCATTAAATAAAACATTAAGGTTTAACGTTAGTGATAAAACCGCCTAACTTCAAAACCAAGTAATTGCCATAATTATGCGAAAACAAATTTAAAACAATCAATTGACCTAATCACAGGCGGAGTCTTTGAGAATTATCTAACGACGATGTTGTTACAACAGCCGGACGTGACCACAACGTTCCGCATTTTATGAAGCACCGACTTATTGCTTTGCAAGCACATTTTTTATTCTATATTTTAATAATTGACAATGCATTTTATTACAGACTTGTAAATAAAACAGTTAACAATAACTACAAAACGACGAGAGAAAGAAAAGCTTGTTTAATCTTATGTGTTATTTCGTTAAATAAGTATGTAATTTAACCGATTCCATTAAAATTAAAAATATCTGTACCTATGTTTTTTAAGTTAAATACTTTTTAAAATATGAAGGCCTTTAGTAGACTTACACAACTATAACCTTTTGGTCATGAGTGAATGTAACCATATTAGAACTTGGTTTATTTGTCGCAGGTATGTTAAGTTGCGCCTCCCCCGCCGGCATGCCGCCCGCTCCGCACTCCACACACTCCCAAACTTGGGGCTCATTGCTCCAGCCACCCCCAGCTATCGTAAGTATTTGTTTTACTTATACTTTGCAGGTTTTACCTAAGAACTGAAAATGCCTAGAATAAAAGCTTAACTACTTTATATTTAACTTAACTGGATTTTCTAATGATAAATATTTCAGAAAGTTATTATAAATTTAAAGTCTCTTCTAATTTTAAAATTAATTGTAGAATTATAAAACTCTACGGGTACAATCAGTTTTCTTCATATAATGTTCTCTTCTTAGAAATCCGAGCCCATGGATGAGGGGAGCTTCTCAAAAGAACAAACGAGTGGATTTTACTCGGAAGGCTTTCACAGCGCATCACCATCTTCATCAAGTAAGGATTCTAATGGGCACTCACCTCGCAGCGTTGGCAGCGCTGGCGATCCAGCGCAATTTTACGACAGCATGCCGCTAAAAGCCAAAGCCAATCTTGGTATGCACCTGGAAAATTATCGCAACGGAGTCCCTTACAGTTTGCTCACACCGCCACGTTTCGAACCGCGTGCCAACGACATACGCGAACGTTCACCAGGATATGAAGCATTTTCCCCCAGAGCATTAGCTCCACCCGCTCATGTATCAACACCTCTTGGGCGAGCAGATGCAACACCACCCAAATCACCACCCAGAACTCCAACATCTCCAGAACGTGACCATGAAAGGCGATCTTTTGAACATTTTCATGATTCTGGATTTGAAATGCATGGCAAGCACGACGATGACGGCCGCGATGCATCCGCCTTCGAAGAAGACTTTGATGACGAACCTGGCCTGCGAGTACCCGCTGTCAATTCTCACGGAAAAGTTAAAACGTTCAAATGCAAGCAATGTGAATTTGTTGCTGTCACTAAACTTAGTTTTTGGGAGCACAGCAAGGAACATATCAAACCAGAAAAGATGTTGTGCTGTCGCAAATGCCCTTTCGTCACAGAATACAAACACCACCTCGAGTATCACATGAGGAATCATCTTGGTTCCAAGCCGTTCCAATGTAGTCAGTGCTCATATTCCTGCGTCAATAAGTCTATGTTGAATTCGCATCTGAAATCACATTCAAACGTGTACCAGTATCGCTGTGCGGACTGCAACTATGCCACCAAATATTGCCATTCCCTGAAACTTCACCTTAGGAAGTATAAACATAGCCCTGCTATGGTTCTAAACGTCGACGGCACACCGAATCCCTTGCCTATTATCGATGTATATGGAACTCGCCGAGGACCAAAACAAAAACCGATCTCCAAAATGTTCGAACAGCAACCAAACATCAATAACAATAATACACCCCAGCCTCCACCGCCTACCCACCCACTATTCGGAAATCACTTCCCCGTGAACTTGCCGTATTTGCCGCCTCTTCTACCTCATTCGTTCTTATTCCCACCGAACAACAACTATGAACAGAGAACATCGCCTAAACTCTCGGAGATGCCCATCGAACAGCAAAACTCTCCTCCGCCTTCAATTTTACACCAACGACTTTCGTACTCGGAACTACAGACGGACGGGGGAGCTATATCTCCGCCGAAAAAATCACCCGCAAGCGTGGCGCACACGCCTACCGCACGTGCCCCAACTCCAGACGCTCTCGATCTTACTAATACAAAAACAAGCGAAGCCGGCTCGCCACCACCGTCTGAGAGACCTACACCTGTGACACCGACTACTTCGATGAAAAATAGGAGAAAGGGACCCGCGTTCAAGCTTCAGCCAGCTGCGCTGCGACTTCAGCACGAAGACGAGAAAGGGTGCGAAATGGAAGGTTCTGATTGCGAATCTGAGGGGTCAACTGAGGCTCCACCGACAACATCGCATAATTACCAATGCCAATATTGTGACATTTCATTTGGTGACCTTACTATGCACACGATTCATATGGGTTTCCACGGCTATAACGACCCTTTTATGTGTAACAAGTGCGGTGAACGCAGCGCTGACCGCGTGGCGTTTTTCATTCATTTGGGTAGAGCACAACATGCCTAGCTGTATTACTGTAGATAATTTTGTAGTATTTAGATATTAACCTAGTCAAAGCTTACTTGATGGCCGCTTAGAGGCTTTTAATAGGTGAGTAGGTAAAATAAATATTTCATTTAAATTATTGTAGAACTTAATGTTAAATTACTACCACATAAATTGTAATATTTTTTTTAAAATAAGGCCAAAGATTGCTTGATTACGCTATCGCTCCAATCAATAGGTATACAAATATACTATTCGCCAATTAACAATGCAAAAATAGTAACCACTATGTATAAATCAAGAGTCGTCTGTATTTTTGGGCAAGTTAACTCTTCGATGGGAATGACTGCAGTATACTACTATTATAAATTGTAAATGTAATAGATAACTTTAGCACGTAGCTTCTTAGTATACCTATCCAAATAGATTAAGCATATAAAGATATAATCGTATTAAACCCTGTGTTATAGATATATTATATAGTGTAGTGAAGTAGAAACGAGTGACCAATGTGTAAACAAGACTGTTGTAATCTTGATTAAGTACAAAAGAAACAAAACTTCGAGTAATTTGTCGCAGCCATTTTGCTTTTTTCATATTTAGTTAAATAGAGCGTGTAAACATAAAATTGAATTACCTGTTTTTCGTTTACAACAGTATTTATGTAAATTGTCACCATCGCATTTTTTTATTATTAAGATGCCAAAATGTACATTGTTGGACAACGGTAAAGTTACCTATTAGTCATAGATTTGTAAGTAATCAGACCATAAATTAGCCTCTAAAATTACATTGTAATGTAGTAAGTCAGATTGTATTTATTGGAAAAAATTATATTTTATTTATTTATGTAAAAATTTGATGTGGTTTAAAAATTTGCCGCATAACTCATTCGCACCCTTGGTATAATAAAGCTACATCATCATAATGACAATTTTTTATAAAAGAGATTTAAAAATTCTCCTATACTATAGTCTATACTACCTCAAATGGCTTTCGTTAATTCCGCAAAACAGTGAGTGTTGAATCAACCACTTTGAAAAAAGTATATGCTAAAAACACGATTTCTAAAAATGTATACCATAAAATTTCGCATACATAACGTGTTTCATGTAGTTCGTATTATTTTAATGACGTTCATGTCGTGATTAAGATACTTTTACTTATGATCACAAGTAGCTTTGTTATTATACCAAGGGCCGTTGGACCCTGTTTAAGAACATTCATACTATTTGACGATCTCGGTGGCCTAACGGGTCGAACTATGGACGTTGGATGAAGAGGTCTAGGGCTTGATTCCCGGTTCGGGAATGACCTATTCTAAATTGGTTCTGGTCTGGGTGTCCTGGATAATGCCCCAGAGTGAATTCCGTCTTCTCTGGTAGTCACAGTACAGGGGATACTGTAGTTAATTTTCAATACAGTTACGAGATTAATACATTCAAAAGGTTTAAACTACAATAAGTGTTACTTTAGCTTAAAAAAACTTTGTTTGTATCTATAATGTGAGGTTTAAGACATTTATTCTCACTAAGATTAATAAAATTAAATTCTCACTAAGGTTAATTAAATAAAATTCTTAGTAAGAATAAATGTCTTTGTGTCTTTAATATAAAATTGTCATGCTATGTTTCACGTATCATTCAATCACAACCTCCACAATTTTGACTGTTTAATATACGAAAGCTGACACACGTTAATCCGCAAAAACTGTCATACAAATTTTATATACATACATCGTTCGCAGTACGTTCAAATTCGCAAGAGAAAACTGACAGTTTTTACTATTTATCGTGTGGTTGTTCGTTTTTACTAGGCCACAATGAATAGTTTTAAATTGTTACTATCTGTCAAAACATTACGCGTGCCTTTTTATTTTCAACACTTAACTATTGACCAAAACATGTTTTCGGAACTTATGCCATGAATAATCAATATTACGGTTTCAAATGAAAGTAAAAGATGGGACCTACAAAACACTATTGTTATAAAACTATGTCGTTGGTGCTTGGTAAAATACGAAGATACAAAAATTACTTTTTTGTCGCTTACGACGTTTTTGTTTCACACGTGTAATTTTTCTATCAAACGATAAAACATTACAACAATTGAAACATTTTATGACAAAAATGCATGTTACGATATAAAAATGTCAATAATGTTTATTGACAAGAATACTTTTTAAACTTGTGTGTGCTCGCTGAGGAAAATAAATTGAGTTTTATTTAGAAACTTGTTTTTTTTAATAGTGCTAAATGAAAATAGTAAATATAAACAATATTTATATTTATCAAAATTTATATAAAAATATATAACTCTTTTTTTAAAAACAAAAAGTATTCAACTAATTTCTTTCGTAGAATTTCTAAACCTCTATTACTTCAAGTGTGCAATCTAATGTAGTAATAGAATACACAGGCATGTTCTGTTAATAATTCATTTTGTAACAGTATATGTAAGTAAATAAAACATACTTTTAGTGTAACAATTACAATCAGTTAAGGGACAATATCTCAGAAGGTCGTATAAGGAATTCAAGTTCGGACGCTGATTAAAGAAGGTAGTAGGTATTATTCCATCGATAAGAGCCTAACTCTTAGATTAAAAGATAATCACGTTGTGTAAAACGGTCAAAGAGGGCGGCAGCTCATGTAACGTTATATATTCCACAAAAGCAAAAGCAAGAACACGATTCTACACCAGTATTCGTGACGATGAGCCACAGCCCTATTATCAACACCACTCGACTTTTTTATCACAGAATATGAAGTTTACTTCAATAAAATTCTACTGTAAACGGTACTTCATAAAGTAGCTCGTAATTCAAATATACGCAATATACCCTATTCATATCCGATACGTTAAATAATATACATATAATTCGTGGTATCACTGGATATAATAAAGCCACATGTGATCGTACAACAAAACGTGACTTCCAATGAACACAACGCCAACATAATCTTTGGACCTGTTAAGTTTTATTTGTTTTTGTTTTTTTTTTCACAAAATTCGTATTTTTTTGTTTTTTTTTCGAATTTTGTTTTTTTTGAGCATAATTTTAGTAAATAAACACGGCTGTTTACAAAAAAAAAACGAAATTCATAGGAGGTATCGAAAAGTGTATCTAATAATAATAAAATCGTTTATTTATCTCAATACATTAATAAGTAAAAATAAATATATAAGCTCTACACAGTGTTTAGTAACAATAATGGTGTGAGATAAAAAGATCTGTAGCTCAGCACAATGGCGGAGTGTTTTCAGCACCGCTGATGCTACAGCCAGCCATGTTCATTAAAAGAAGAAGAAGTAACTTACAAGATATGCGAGTTTTAAAAATAACTCTCATATTTAGATATAAAAATTTTTGCGAGTAATTTCGTCTGTAGAATCTTTGAACCTCTCTCCTGAAAAATTGTAATTTTGCAGATGTGGCCTTTTTACACCAAAGGTGTGAATTATAGTTACATGCCACAGGGATTCGAATCGACACTTTCTTAAACGAGAGGCAACTACATTTAGGTGAAAACGGGTTAAATGAGTCAATAAAGTAAACAAGTATTGTACCTACACCTCGTCCAAAGTAAAAATGTCCATCGCAGTCCATAGGACGTCGAACCCATAGACCTAATAATGCGTCCCCTTTATAATGAATGTACATATATCAGTAATATAATGCGTAATTACTTAGATAGCATACATTTACATACATCATCAATTATATATTTTAATTAAATATTCACAAGGGGTATGTTTGAAAATTACTGAAAACAAGCGTAAAGCAATCGAAGAGACAAAGTTAAAAGAATAATTATGGTTTTTTTTTTTTTATATTATGTAGGCAGCAAACAAGCATATGGCCCACCTGATGGAAAGCGGTTACCGTCGCCTACAGCACCAGTTTATCGTCGTCGTCAACCAATTACACATTCCACTGCTGGGCGGATCGTCTTTAAAGAGGAGGTAAATTTAGCAGAAGTAGAGCTCCTTGTGAAAGAGTTCGTCAAGACAAGTACTGCTAGTTATGAACATTACTGCGTTCCGGTTTTTTTATAATATCAAGTAGAGTAAGAATGCTGGTGAAATTAGATTTAAATAAATAAATAAAAATCTTTTATTTTCAGACACCATAGGTCCATAGTTTGTTAGTAAGCAACCTTATACTATATTAGTAACAAGTGACTGTACGGTGAATTTATTTATACATTAAAATTTTTTAAATCGAAATGTCAAAATATTCAAAAAACATAATATAAAAGTCACTGAAAGAATAATGATAATTTAGTCGAAAGAAAAAATTTAAAATACCAAAATTTACAATTAATAAAATAACAATTAAAATTCAAATTAGCTAATATAATAATAATTAACATGAACAAAACTAAAATTTTTGAAATCACATGTCATAGAGAAATTCATTACATTACAATTACTACTACTTACTTAGTCACTATTTTTGTGTGAGAGATGCATCTGTCTACACAATGTGCTATCATTGGGGAATCATGTCGCTCTGCTATTACCCTTAGGATGGAATTGGAACTACCCTAGATTTGCATACCAACATAACTTAACATAACTTGTTATGTCTCAGATCTTTGCGATTAAAATCTATGAGTGGTTAATGAGGTGAGCAACTGTTTCGGACAGGCGTATAGTTTATCACCAGGCACACGACTTGCTCGTCCCGTCACTTGATATTATATTATAATTGCTTAACGGCAGAAATAAGTATGTTAACAGTAGTTCTCTACTTAGCACGATGGACCTAATTATAAAGTTTAATACATGCTGAACGAACGAGTTCTAAAAATAACATGCCCAAAATACTTATAACTACATATTTCGAATAACTGAATAGCGTTGTAACTCGGCTAATAACCGTAAAAGAAGATTCAATAAAAGTAACAAAAGGCGACGCGCTACTTGCAAAAAGACGCTCTTTTTTTATTTAAAACAGACATGAATAACAATATGGTAATAAAAACAAAGGCAATCGCCGCCGTGAACCACGGTAGCTAATAGAAATACCGCCGTGCTAAAAAATAACATATTCTATTGTTTAACAATTTACATAGACTAGTATAAGTTGACCGTTGACACTTGATAAAAAATTGAGTAAGTACCTATTTAAGATTGTTAATCGCGTTGCGTTTCTTAGATTCTTTTGTTTAAAATTCAAGTCTGCTGCTTTGTTTTAAGAGTCTATATTACCGTAAATGGCATTTGGTTGATTCCACATAACAGTGAAAACATTCAATTTATCACTTTGGAATAAAT